AACGGTAACGTTAACGTTAACGTTAACGTTAACGTTAACGTTAAGTTAAGTTAGTTACGTACGTAACGTTAACGTTAACGTTAACGTTAACGTACGTACGTACTACTATAACTAACGTAAGTAACGTACATACACACACACACACACACACACACACACACACACACACACACACACACACACACACACACACACACACACACACACACAAATTGTGCATAACAATACAATAAATACATTTCAAATAACATTTGACAGTTATTTTATAACATTTGACTACAACCAATAACTATTTTATTTCCTCGATTAAGCACTTACTAAGTGTCCAAGGTCATATCCAAACTTTTTGTATTTTTCAGAGCAGTTACTTTATAGTAGAGAACCGTCCACACTCGGATAGACAATATAATATGCCATAAACTAGTAATAAGCGCCCAAGTGTGTAAGATACATTAAAAGTTCAGAAATGCCCCAGTCAATGACTAAAATTATCTGTTTTATCTTCAAGTTTATCCGATAAAATAAACTAGATATTTATTTTTTACTTATATTCCAACTGGTACACGGAAGTAGTACCCAACTATTCCTTTCATCCTTGATTACTATTAAAATCATTTTGGGATATTTTGTTCTTTTTGGTCCAAAAAGAAATAGTGAAAAATGCTAAATTCAATCACCTTTTTAAGTTAACATCTCAGAATGTTATCAAACCAAAGTTGATATCTTTTGACTGATATTCATATTATTACTAAACAAGACAAAGAAATGCAGATCCTCACATTACTGTTGAATAATCGAGCTTTACCGCAGCGCATCATTCCATAAATAACCTGAATCTCTCCAGGAGCCGCATCAAAAACATCACGTTAAATATTGCCTGAGGACCAAATACCATCCAGTCACACTTCAAGGGTCGAGGAAGGTAAGGAAAAAACAAACACAGGCGTCTTTTAATAAGCATGCAGAGAGAAATCTGCATCCGTCTGCTGATAAGGAAGAGATGGGCGGAAAAGATGGAAGGCTACATGCAACGTGTTCCAAACTCCCTCGATGTTCGACAGTGATAGAGTACGGGGGAACAAATACGTTTGTGTGTCTTTGAAATGATTGCTCCTCTGTGACGCACTTTTCAAGCCTCCCTTAGTGTGTTTGTGCAGCGGTGTTGGTCTGCGTTTGTGTCTCCGTGTGCACTTTTGTTGGGTGTAGCCGAGCGTAAACATCAGTGTGACAGGAGAGCAGCCTCGGTGCATTAGAGCCCAAACTAACACAGCTCCATTTTGTAAAAGGTGCGGAGGATTTTGAACGCATTTCACTAAGGGCTGGTGCGTCTCATAGCGCATTGGAGTCGCAGCTGCAGAGTAAGTTCAGAAAAGTCTTTAAGCGTCTGCGTCAACAGCAAAGTGATATATCGACTTGTAAGAAGATAAGATGAGGCTGCGTTTGAGCTCGTCAGCTTGTTTTTAATCCATCAAGGTCTTTATAAAAAGGAAGCAAAAGAACAAAGCGAGCGTACCTTCTTACAGAGGACCAGCTGGTGATCAAAGAGGAAGAAGACTCGCTGCTGGCTGCGCCCGTACGGCTGATAGATCCATGACAGCTCCCCGGTGTAGATCAGCTCCGAGCTCCTGTCCAAGATATCGTCGCCCTAGACACAAACACAATGTGTAAATGAAGGAGATACTATTCTTATAGTGAATTATCTAACCAATGTTGAACATAAGAGTAAAGACAGGTTCATATGATGGAGTACTAGTGTCCTTTAAGGTACACATAAATACAATTGGGCTACATTTGAAGGGCAAATATATTTTTTCTATTACATCAAATTACAAAGAACAACTTGGTAATGGATTACAATAAGAGTGCGGCATTTGCGAGAAAAGAAACTCACACATTAACATAAACAAAACTCTCATTTTCAGGGATTATTAAATCATACATTTAGCAAGAATCTTATTTTGAAGTTCCTGAGATTAAAGTAATTATCATGTTGTAAAAAAACTGCAAAATAAACAAGGTAAGTAACTCATTAAGTATCTACTTCTCAGCGTATGAACACAGTTTAGTGAGTGCCTTCTGTGGCATTTTCTAGCCTGAGACGTCATAGTTATATCATCAAGTATAAGTTAGACCTATTTGTCTCTGAGGGGCCATTTGGACTGCTGCAGTGGCAGTAAAACCACAACAACAGACACGGAAAAAAAAGTCACAGATAAGAACAACAGATGAAAACACACAGGACAACAATTATAATATTAAGGAAAGAAAGAAAGAACGATTCATAAGATAGAAAGGAAGAAGGAAAGAAAGGAAGAAGGAAAGAAGGAAAGACAAATAAATCATCTTAGGCTTGAAAACGTTTTAGTGGAAGTCTAACAAAATCAACAAAAATATATTACATTTAAAAAAAATGTCTGATAGTGAAAGTCCTTTTAAAGGAGAGTAACAAGGATTGACTTTGTGAATCTTAAAGGCATATCAATTAGATTAATCATTAAACCCGTTCCCCCTCAGTAACCTTGAGATTGTGACCACATTTAGTGAGAGATATTGGGCTTCTATGTCAACTTTTCTTTCAATGCCGGGGCAATATCAGTAACCAAACAGAAGGACCAAACAGGCCAGAGCAGTGCTTGCCAATGAACAACATGAGTGGGCATTGGATGCTTTGGAAGGACTCCACAGAGAACACACAAACAAACCTCCCAGTCCAGAACGGAGGCTTGCCACTGGGCGATCTTGTCGATGTTCTCCAGTCTCCTCTTCCTCTCGTTGATCTGCTGAGTGACGTTCCGCATCACTGCCAGCGCCGCTGCCACGTATCGATAATCACTGCGGACACAGTGTACACATAATTACTCCTGGGGTGCTAGAGGGGGAAAGTTATAGCTCTTGGAGTTTGGCCATCCTTTAAAGAAACCCATGTCATGTTGCAGCAGTGAGTGATACAGGGTAGCCTATTAAAGGACTTATAAAGTCAAGTAAGAGCAATAAGTCAGCTGGAGCACGGTCCAACACCACACTGCTGTCTCGTTCTAATCAGCCACTTTCTCCGTCCACTGTTAACTGAGCCGGATCTATCCCTCTGGCTTAGATGTGAAACGGATCCAATCCTCACTTTGGAAGATAATGTGTGTGTGACGGTGTTGTGTGTGTGCGTGACAGAGAGCAGGCCTATATCTGGCAGATTGTCTCCAGCTCCTAACAGTGGAACGCTGGGATCTGGCAGGCGGCGCTGGCACCTGTCCCTCTCTGGCTGAGAAAGGAGTCGCGAATGACCCGGAGCTGGCTGAGATGCTGAATCACTCACGCCATGTCTTGGTTGCTCCGCACGCATGAGTTTGCACATCTGGATGCCCGCGTCTTCTGCAAATGTTTGTGCACTGTGCTTGTGTGCTGCGTAGTGAGTGGGGAGTGTTGATGCATGTGCCAGCTAAAGCCCAAATTCATATTTAATCTGCAGTCTATTTATATCCGGAGTTCTACACAATAGCCATGGAGTGAAATAAGAATGAGTTGATGTTCAGTATTGTAGTAAAGGTTTACGATGAAACTGAGTTTACCTGATTATATTTCAATCAAAAGCAATTACAGAAAGCTGGTCAAATAAACCCAAAACCTGCAACAGCTGCATTGCTACTGGTGTTTGTTTCGTCAGTGAACTAATCCTTAAAGAGGCCCTATTATGCATGTAGGGGGTGTCCCTTTCCGGTAGTGAGTTCAAAAGGTTTTTGTGTATGTGAATGGTCTGAAAAGGCAAACATCTCAAAGTTCACACTAGAGGGGGTTTCTCTCCCATACACTTCTTGGACTCCTTTATAGTGACATCACTAAGTAAAACTCGCTCTCCAACACATTGTACGTTATAGGCAAAATCAAAAACAAAAAGCAACACGCTCTGCTGATGAAATGTGAGCATGGACAGAGAGTTCTGTACCTGTGCTCCAGCGCAGTGTATTTGAGAAGCTCAGCCAGCTGGAGTGGATATTTGCAGATTTTCTGGACAGGGGTGAGCAAAAAGCCGTCGATGGCAATGTCGATCATCTGCTGGAGGAGGCGACAGGCCTCGAAGAAGTGCTGGTACCTCCCATCCCTCATCAGTTTGCTCAGCTCCATACAGGCGTCCAAGTGGTTGTTACAGTATTCAGAATAGATCCAGAAACCATCTTGCTGTAGAGAATAAAGGGGCGAGAGACACATGATGAGAGATATGTACTGAATTCTCTTCTTCAGTGTCAACAAGAAGCTCTGGTTGCTTGGATGTTTTTTTATTATAGCAGTTTTCTTAAGATCATGACCTAATTATCTCATTATCTTGAAATAAACAGTTTGCTGTTGACTTAATTATCAGCACAGCTGCTATCTCAAGATAATGGGATAATTAAGTTCTGATGGTGTGATAACAGGCCAAACTAAATTATTATCAATTTAAGCTTCTCTAAGCTGGACAGTGTGCGTGAGGTAAACATATTTTCATCAAAGAAGTAAAGACTTATACGCCTAATATAATAAATAAACATTTGTACACTGCCAGGTGTCTCATAACAATAACAATAAAAGGAGTTAGGTGGTGTGGTAAAGATTCAGACAACAACTCCCATGACTACTATAGTATAGCAGTCATGGGAGTTGTTGTCTGAATTACAATTGCCTTCCACTTGGATTCTAACTATACGTCTCCTCTCAAAAATGAGTTTTTATAGTTAAAACATAGTTAAAAACAACCATGATCAAAAAAGTTAAAATGTTGATTAAACGTCAATTTCTGATGCTTCTGCAACGCAGTGGCAAAAGAGATAAAATGCTATTAAAAGGTAGCAAATTAATTGATTACAATTATGGATATTGATTCTATAGAAACATTTGGAATAAGGTCAAATAAACAACCTCAAAAAAGTACAACAGTCGTTTTTAGACATTTCAATATGGAAAAGTTACACATCGTACTTTTCCCTCAAACACTAATTGAACTCACGTGTTCTAAAAAGCACGGCCCGATTTCAGAAAGGTGGGGGTCGTCTGTGTTGTACTGTTTCTCCAGGTCTCTAACAAAGCCCATTTGGAACCTGTAGATGTCCTCGATGTTCCCGAAGATGACCTTCAGCTGGTCGTCATTGAACATGTCCACACGCTTCCTGCACTGGCGCAAATAGCCCTGAAACAATATGGGTTAAAGCTCTATGAAGTTCACAACAAAGATACAGTTTAACTGCCAGTAAAGTAAAATGTAGGCCATAGCTTTATATATCTCATCAGTATGTTTGTTAATTCTTTGGAATAAACACGTGAAGTCATTCCTTAAACATTATTCATCCGAGTCGAAATGAACTTTGACTCTGAAGCTTCCGTAGAGTCAGAAAAAATCTTGAGTAGGTCGAACTGTGGCCTCAATTTCAGTCGGTCCAATTCTTGTGGTTAATGAAATGCCCTGAAGCTTCGGCACTTTGGGAAAAGATTTACTGTAAGAGGTAGCTTTGTGCTATTTTACACTCCATCACCCAGTACCCTCTGTTTCTGAAAAACACATGCAAAGCATTTTGTGTTCTGCTTATACAATAGTAACTGTCAATAATGGAAAGTTCTGTTTTAAAACGGTGCGTCTGCTATTTGAGAAAAGTAATATATGTCTTTCCAAAACAATCAATGTGTATGTATCATGCCCGAGAGAGTGCGCGGGATGTTGATGCAAATTTTCGTAGTGGCCAAACGGTGTTACCACAACTTCAGTGTCAGTCCGTGATACTGCTGCTATTGTTGAAATGCTGTATATTTGATTGGGTGGGTTTGGGGAATTTTTGAACGGCCTGTTCTAAATCCATGTAAAGCACGTTGTGACATGCCTGTGCCTGTTTATTCCCTCAGGCAAGAAGTGCAGAGGTGAAATTTACGCTTTACTGCAACTATTTTTAAATATTACGCTTCACTCGAAATACAGACAAAGGGCATATAGAGGATTATGGAAAGATGATTAGATAAGCACAAAACATTTGCACTAGAAATTCCTTCCCACCCAAAGTCATGATGCAGGTGTTTAGTTTCGTTCTACAATACGACCTTTATGTAACAGATGCTGTGCTGGTGGCAACATTTTAGAAATAACTGCTTCACATGCAAAAGAGAAGTATGCAGTCTTACTTTAACAAACTTTTTGTGAATTTAATCAGCAGGAAGGCCTGATGGCATTGGGCTACTGTCCTTAACAATAGGGATGCTCCGATCGATCGGTCACCGATCGAGATTGGCCGATACTCACTCTCTACCGATCGATCGGTGCTCTCTAAACATGCCGATTGCGGGAGCCGATCGCATGACGTAAAATACATGACACTTTTCTCTGTGCGTGGCAAAACAAGCTCGCCAAAATGGCTTCACCGGTCTGGCATTATTTGAAGGTGTCCGAAAAAGACAGTAAAAATAGCGGTATGCAACGTGTGTAAAGCAGAAATCCTGCAGCTCCACCCGCCGGACCGGTGAGCGGAGCAAAACACACAAGAGTTAGACCTAACACACTTACCTGTTTGATCTACCTCTGGAACAAGCTAAACTAGTTATAAATATATTTATTCTTCACTGTCGGGTCACTCATTACTAGATCAGTGAGCTGCATGAGATACTGACAGGCTGTCAGGAGAGGGAGAGAGGGCGAGAGAGGGGGAGAGAGAGAGAGGGAGAGAGGAAAAGAGAGCGCTTCCGCTCATTTCTCCCGTTGTTATTGGTGGTGGTGGTTCGGGTGCTTTAGTTTTTGGTTGGTTATTGGTTTGATCCCCGAGTAAAATGGACCTGCGAATTGGGGGGTGGGGTTGTGTAGTAGGGTCGTTGGTTTGATTACATTAATTAAGTTACTACATGTAATTTAATGTTAAATGTTGAATGAAAGCTTCATNGGGTCTAGACCCCGGGGGGTTTCATCGGATCGGTTCTCCCCTCCCGAATGATACTTCCTAATCGCCAAAACTCCATTACATTCATTTGTGTATCTCTGCAATAAATATGTATTCTTACATCAAAACCTTCTCTCCTGTTTGAACATAAGTGATACATTTAAACAAACTACTAATAGTAGATTAACTACTTTCTTCAAAAGTTTACAGTAATTCTGGAAAATAAAATGGGAAAAATAAACGGGGTGCTCTCTTTTCCTCCCCCTCTCCTCACAGCCCGTCAGTATCAGTCTCTCTCTCTCTCGTACGGGTATACTTCACACTTTATGTTCATATCGATCAGATCTAGCTAATGATATGACTGCCTGCTTATCAAAGGACACCTAAACAATAAGCGTTGCTTGGCAACGGGGTGTGGCCGCAAAGTATAGCGCAGCATTATTTATTCATTGTTTAAGCGCTTTGAGCACTATATAAATGTAATGTATTATTATTATTATTATGTATATGTTTAGATGAGCGGTTATAGGTATAAATCCTAATTGTTTTTTTTCTCTTCAAATAAATAAATATACCAATTTTAGGAAAAGTAACGAAGTTTGAGCAGTGTGGGTTTTATATTAACAGTTACACATATTTCAAAAGGCGAAGTGTAATAACTGCAGTTTGCCTCATGATCCTCAGTGAAGCACAGCCCATGTTTCTCACTACATTGTAAATACAACTTATTAAAAATATGCAACTAATGTCGTCTTAGTGTTATTGCATGATGTTAAAATGTGTTCGCCATGAATTTAGTGATGGATTGTAAACATTTGAAATGTAGCTTTAAGTGTTTCTCAGTTACAAGGTTGTTGTTTTAATAAATCAGACACTGATGGTGCAGCGCTGTACTGTACCTCTTTATATAGGCTTTTTTCCCTAACAAATTGTTTTTGCGCTGATCAGGGGGTACTTGGCTGGATTTCTTTTTCAAAGGGGGTACATGATTGAAAAAAGTTTGAGAGTTTAGAGAGTTTAAATAACTTAATTATAAAGCAAAAATGTAACAATTCTTACGCTTCATCTGCAGCCTGTCCATATTTAAAGGTAACAGGGTGATGCATAGACCAGCCACTCTTCATGGACACACAGCTGGGTCCAGGAGCATCTTCAGGTCCAGGTTCAGGTTCAGGAGCATCTTCAGGTTCAGGTCCAGGTCCAGGAGCTTCTTCAGGTTCAGGTCTCTGCTGCTGCATCCTTATAACAGATTAAGATGAGTCAGCATAATGACTCTTAAACCTTGACATAAATGTGTTTGTTCATCAATCAGTGTTTTTTTACTATATACAAATGTTGATTAAAAAAAAAAAAATCGCTCACATTCTATAATAATGTAATTGATTTAAAATATTTTCATTTTAAAATCAATATTAATAATGTAAAATGATTACATGTTTATATTTTATTTGCATATCTTATTTTAAATATATATTAATGCAATTGATTTTTTAAATGAAAAATGTTTAGCATTTATTATAAAAAATAAAGTGAATGATTAAAAAAACATTTTAGTAAATATTAAATTGTATATTATGGTGGCGATTTAGAAAAACATATTTTATTGAATTAAAACCGATTTGTTCCTTTTTTTAAATGCTTTTGTTGATTTCATACTGATTCATTAATGATTTTTCTCCATGATGTAAACATAATTTATTGACGTATTGAAAACCTTTCTATTGATTGAAAAAAATGTTCTTGTTTATTTCAAAGGTTTTCATCGAATCTATAAAGACTGCTTTATTGATGAGTTGTATGTTTGAAATATGAAGAATACTTTTTGTCCTCACACTAACAGACACCCTTGAGACTGTCTCATCTCATTCATGTAGTATTGATTTTAGTTAGCATGTTGTTAGCATGCTGTTAGAGTCTAACTGTCTCGTTAATAACATCTTAAACTGTTAGCATGTTAGCATGCTGTTAGAGCAGCTGTTGGAGTCTAACTGTCTCGTTAATAACATCTTAAACTGTTAGCATGTTAGCATGCTGTTAGAGCAGCTGTTGGAGTCTAACTGTCTCGTTAATAACATCTTAAACTGTTAGCATGCTGTTAGAGCAGCTGTTGGTGCCTAACTGTCTCGTTAATAACATCTTAAACTGTTAGCATGTTAGCATGTTGTTAGCATGATGTTAGAGCAGCTGCCGCTGTTATCATCAATAATATAAATAACTGTTAGCAATAAACAGTCTGAGGTGAGAGCAGAGATCAGCTGAGAGTCATTTCACTCTGAAAGCTGTCACTTACCAAGAGTTTAACGAGGAGGAAAACTTCTGCGTCACAACGGGAACAAAGCATGGAACAAAGTGAAGTAACTTTTCTGACACTGGAACTCCCACAGAGAACAGGGACGAGAGAAGTTGATGTGAATCATTGGCTGTACATCAGCTCTATCATGTGGTAGCTCATGATATCACATCATAAAAGTTTTTTCATTAAAAAAAAATGCTTTTTATTAAATAAAAATATTATTTATCCAAAACTCATCTCATTTATCCATCAAATAATTAATTTCTGCCTATTTAAATAATATTTGTACTGATTTAAAAATGATCTTTTTGATTTAGGACAATTATGTTGTTAGCTGTTCCTCCCTGTGGCAGCACATAGTATCACATCAAAAACTACTGGGGAAAAAACTAGATTTTTCTGATTTAAAAATGCTTTTTATTGATTTGGAAATATGATATATCTAAAACTCATCCTATTAATCTATCAAATAATAAATGTCTTTCTATTTAAAATGTTTTTTTTACTGATTTAAAAAGGATTTTATTGATTTAGGAAAATCACTTTTTTCATAGGGCGGCTGTGGCTCAGTGGTAAGTGTGCTTGACTTCGAATCAGGTGGTAGCAAATTCGAGTTCCACTGCAGGCAGCATGTCGCTGTGTCCCTGGGCAAGACAATCCATCCCAAATTTCTCCTGTGGGGATTGTCCACAGTATTGAGTATTCATATTCAATCTTTTTTTCAGACTCAAGGTCCATATCACATACAAAAAACACAACATCAATAAATAAGATAAAAAGCTAAACACAAAACAGATAAAAACAAACAGATAAAAAACATAAAATCAGACCAATCACAGCCAGCCACACATGCTCACTGTCAGTATAGGCTATTGCGCCAATGTCTCCAAATCATGGAAGAGAACCGAGTAGAACTCTTCACAGGGTTAATTAAAATCGAGATGACATGATTGTCCGAGTCTTCTAGGCGACACATGAATTTGTACATTAACTTTCTTAAGAGGGCTTGACAAGTAGGTACCCCCAAGTTAACAAACAGCTGGCTGGCACTGTGCCATCTTGGTACCCTCAGCAGCAACCGTAAAGCATCATTGTATGCAACTTTTAGTTTGTGTATGCTTCTAGCCTTGTAGTTACTCCACAGGTGAGCCTGTAGTTACTCCACAGGTGAGCCGTGTACATGAAAGCTTTCAAAAGTGATACCTTGACATCTACAGAGCACTTGTGAAATTTCCGCATTAATATGTTTGCCTGGGCATACAGTTTGCAGCGTTGTCTATGGATGTCTTTGTCATCTGTGAGATCATCAGAAATATAATGTCCAAGGTACTTCATCTCACTGCACACAAGTAGAATGTTGCTACTAAGAATGAAATTAGGAAATACAGCCTTTTTATCCTCTTTACTTCGCACAATCATGACGCTACTCTTCTTGGCGTTATACTTAATATTAAAATCAATGCCATACTGGGAACAAGTCCTCAGAAGCTGTTGTAAGCCAGCATTAATATTAAGTATAACGCCAAGAAGAGTAGCGTCATGATTGTGCGAAGTNATTCAATATAATTGTTATTATATTCTCTCTTTTATTTATACTTGTCTATAAAATCTAATCCTCATTTGCATTTCATTTCATTATATTCTCCTTTGTATGCAGTATAAACACTGACCGTAGTCTTGATGTGATACCATGTGCTGCCACAGGATGGCGCCAGTGTACAGCTAATAACATTATTACATGTCACTTGTTAGACGC